CAGCTGTCTGCCCTCTTCCAGAAATACGGATTTACTCGTAGCCTCGGCCAGCTGTCTGCTGTGAGGGCAAGCGGCTCAGCTGGCACAATGTGTTCCCACTCCTAGAAACACTACCCAGAGACCATGTGAAGTAAAAAGATGTGTGGACTTAGAGTTCTGGCCCCCATTCTGTCCTTTATTAGCTGACCGGCTGAGTCCCTTAGACTCAGGTCCTATGGTACAAAACGGAGACTGGATCACTTATCACATCTCTCAGGAGTGCCATAAGGCACAAATAAGATTCTTGATGCTTGTATATGACCTTTGTACAGCTGCATGACATTAAAATAATTTTCTATAATAATTAACATGTACCAAGCACTTACTATATACATCAGGCATTTCTCTTAGTGCTTTCCATGTATTAACTCGTTTAATCCCCACATGTGCCTATGAGAAGGCCGATACTATCATTATCATTTTATGATGAGAGAAGTTAGTCGGCTTGCCCCTGGTTACACACTGGTCAATAGCAGAGTCAGGATTAGTCAGTAGCTCGCCAGCTTGCTAGGCTGCCTTCTAATGGGCATTACTGTTTCTGTTGGTCCTTGCAGTGGGTGCCAGGTGAGACCATGAAAACATCTTAGGGGTCAGGAAAACTCCTGACCTTCCTGAGTTTTCCTGGGAATGGTAACACGGGGATGGAAAGAACAGTGAGCTGACAGTTAGACAAGGATGACTCAGCCTTCTTTAGCACCCATGGGGTGAAGCCCACCATGCTACCCATTTGTATCACTCTTCAGTGAATGATGCCACCTGGAGCCATGCAGCCTGCGGTCCCAGTGCCTACCACAGTGCATGGCACAAGATAAACATCAGCAGAGGGTACGCCTGCCTCCCTGCTCCATCAGGAACACAGTGGTGAAGGGTAGAATGGATAACAACTTGGACCTTCCTGAGCCTCCATTTCCCCTCTTTCATAGAAGGATATCATAACATTTTCATGAGGATCCAATGAAATTAGAATGTGAAAGTGCTTTTTAAGATTAAGAGTGATATTGGTGTGTTTATCCCTAACTCCTCTTCACTCCTCACCAGAGCGAAACCATTCATGAAAGTATGTAAGACCTTCCTAAACTACGTTACCTTTTCGGGCTCTCCATTTCAGAGGGTGAGGAATTCCTTGTTTGTTCTATGCAAACAGTAACTGCTGTTAGGCTGGGCCAAGGATGCTGCTTTGCCATCTCCCCGCCCCTTCCAGTAGACGCAGTCTGAAGACACTGGCTCTAAGAGGCTGAGTCGGGACAAGCACATGTGCTCTGGACTTAGACCTAGTTTGAATCTTTACTTTGCCACTGGGCAGGCTTTGGATGGATCATTTCAACTTCCCAGAGCCTCCATTTTCTCTCCTCAAATGACAGCAAGCATGATATTAGTAGCTGGGGTGGAGATATCAAATGTTGTGATATCCTTCAGAACAGTATCGGGACATGGTAACATTCTCCCCCGCCTCCTCTTCTTTTTTTTCTGGTAACAGCTTTATTGCTATGTGATTTGCACACCATACAACTCACCCATTTAAAGTACACAGTTCGATAGTTTTTAGTATATTCACAAATTTGTGCAACCATTACCACAATCAATTTTGGAGCATTTTCATCACCCTAAAAGGAACCCCACCCCCCACCCCTCCACCCAGTTCTAGGCAACCATTAATCTACTTTGTCTCTGTAGATTCGCCTATTCTGGACATTTTATATAAATGGAACCATACAATATGTGGCCCTTTGTGTCTGGCTTCTTTCCCTTTGTATAATGTTTCCGAGGTTCATTCATGTTGCAGCATCTATCAGGACTTCATTCCTTTTTATGTCTAAATAATATTCCATCGTATGGGTAGACCACAACTTGATTATTCATTTATCAGTTTATAGACATTTCTATTGTTTCTATTTTTTAGCTATTATAAATAATGCTGCTATGAACATTGTGTGTAAATTTTTGTGTGAACCTGTTTTTATCTTGAGTATATACCTAGGAGTGAATGTCTGTGTCATATGGTCACTGTATACTTACCGTATTTCCCCATGTATAAGACGCTCCCATGTA